CCGGGCAGAGAGGGCCAGCCCCTGCCCCCAGCCCCTGCCCGCAGCCCCTGCCCGCATCCTCACCCCAGCTGTCCTCTCTTCTTTTTGCAGAACTCGGATGAAGAAAAGCAACTCCTCTACGATTTCCCCTGGACAAATGTGGGCAAACTGGTGTTTGTGGTGAGTGTCACTGTCCCCGAGCATCTCTGCCCGTGTCGCTCCTGGGCTCTGCTTTGGGCACGGGCGCAGACCTTGGAGTGATTGCAATCTGGGGGGTTAAGAGATGGGCTGCAGCAAGACTGGGTGAGAATTAGAGTGTTTTTTCTTTCTGGGACTGATGTTTCCCCTATCCCACTCAGGGTAAGAAGTTTGAGATCCTGCCGGACGGGCTGCCCTCAGCCAGGAAACTCATCTACTACACGGGCTGCCCGCTGCGCTCCCGCCACCTCCTGCAGCTGCTCAGCAGCAGCCACCGGCTCTACATGAACCTGCAGCCCGTCCTGCGCCAGGTCCGCAGGCTGGAGGAGAACGAGGGTAAGTGCTTCCCTGGGGTGTGCATCCCACAGACCCCCCCCAGGCTGCTTAGGGATGGGCATGAGCCCCACTGCCGTCCCTCATGGCCCAGTTCCTCCCAGTGCCTCGACGCAACGCTTCCCAGTGCCCCGTGTCCTGTCTCCAAGCTCAGAAAGCCCTTGTGCAAGCGTAAGATCTTCTTCTTCCTCTTCCTCCTCTTTCCCCTCCTCCCCATCATCTTCTTTCCCCTCCTCATCGTCCTCATCTTCTTTGTCCTCCTCATCCTCCTCATCTTCTTCCTCCTCATCATCTTCTTCCTTCTCATCTTCATCCTCCTCTTCTTCCTCCACCTCTTTTGTTTCCTTCTCCTCCTCATTTTCTTTCTTCTCCTCCTCTTGTTCCTCTTCTCCCTCTTCCTCCTCTTTTCCCTCCTCCTCCTCTTCTTCTTCCTCCTTATCTTCATCCTCCTCTTTTTCCTCTACCTCCTTTGTTTCCTTCTCCTCATTTTCTTTCTTCTCCTCTTCTTCTTGCTCTTCTTCCTCTTCCTCCTCTTTCCCCTCCTCCTCTTTTCCTTCATCCTCCTCTTCCTCCCCTTCTTCTTCCTCCTCCTTGACCTCCTTTTCTTCCTCATCCTCCTCCTCTTCCTCCTCTTCTTCTTCCTGCTCCTTGACCTCCTTATCTTCTTCATCCTCCTCCTCATCTTCTTCTTCCTCCTCATCTTCTTCCTCCTCCTCCTCCTCTTTTTTTTCCTCCTTGTTTTCTGTCTCCTCCTCCTCTTCTTCCTCCTCCTCCTTCTCCTCTTCCTCCTCTTCCTCCTCCTCCTCCTTTGGAGGGACAGCACAGCACAGAGCACACCAACTTTGACTCTCCCCACCCCATCATCCCCAAGTGCCACCAGGACAGGGCTGGCTCCTGCTGTGTCACCCCGCTGGGCTTGGGTGACATTGTCCCTGGGTGCGGGGAAGGGGGGTCCATGGAGGGTGGGGTGCTGGCTGCCGCGTGCCGACGGCGTGCCGCTGGCCCGGCAGAGAAGAAGCAGTACCGCGAGTCCTACATCAGCGACACCCTGGACCTGGACATGGAGCAGCTGGAGAAGCGCTCGCGGGCCAGCGGCAGCAGCGCCGGCAGCATCCCCCCCAACCGCCTGGCCCGGC